TATTAGACAGCCATTCTGGGAACTGTATCTCTCGAATGGCGTCGGCCTTCAGGAGTTTGTCGATTTCCTCGTTGACCGCGCTGGTGTGATGCGGGGCCATGCGTCGTGGCCTCTGTTTGACTGGCTTGTGCGACGGGTCAACATGCAGCCTGTGTGTGATTATCTCGGGGTCTACCCCCGTCATTTCCATTTCGTTCCAGGCGAACACGTCTGTATTTCCCTTAGGAACTCGATCATCTCCTCCTGTTCGGCTGTGGGCATCGAGGTCCCAACTAAGAAATACCTCTCTTCTTCTCCCTCTACCAAGGGCACCTTCCGGAGGTCTTCTACCGACCGCTCAGTTGGGTCTATCCGGGGGTCATCCATTCCTGGACGCCCGGACTGTAATTGCTATTTTTTCATAATCTCTTCCGGTGCTCGCCCCTTCTCCTGGCTGAACGCCCCGGCTCGAACGGCTGAATAAAAATAATTTTTCGCGGACGCTTGGTCCCCCCGGATCTCCATGATACCTTTTGGCGTGACGAATTTTAATTTCTGGTGGAAAGTGGAGTGCACCGCTCCCAACGCATGCAGCCATGTTCGCCCCATAATCACGTTGTAGGGAGAGTCCGTATCGATCACGACAAACTCGGTGTCGATGACAAAGGGACCTGTGACAACTGGCAATGTGATTTTCCCCACGGGCAGGGCGAACGAGCCGTTGAATCCGATGAGGGGTGTCCTGACTTTGGTGAGGTCTTTGGGGCCAAGACCCATCCGTTTTAAAGTTTCGGAGTACATCACCTCCGAGGAACTTCCAGAGTCTATCAAAATCCTTTTGACATCGAATTTTCCTATCCTCAGGGTCAAGACAAGGGCGTCGTTATGAGGAGTCACTACGCCTGTCAAATCCGCGTCGGAGAATGTAATGCCAAGCTCACCCGTCCTGGCCCTTTTACTTGGTGGCCCTACATCAACCTCGGCTACCTTCCTTGTAAAAGCTACCCTCTTGAGGTCGGACTCGAGTTCCTTGGACGTGGGGCGATCCAGGGGACATATATGGATGACATCTATGATGTTGTCCGGCTCCTCGGTCGGGGCAAGGGCTTGTCTCTCTTCTGGCCTGGGCTCTATGTACTCTTTCAAATATCCGTCTCGGACCAATCTTTCCAAGAACGATTTGAACACCCTGCAGCTTTCGGTGCGATGCCCGAAATCCCGGTGATAGGAACACCTAACCTTTTGATCACGGGTGGAGGGGTCGCTCTGCATCCTGGGCGGCCATTTGAAGAACGGCTCGTGCTTGATTTTATGGAGCAGCTTGAAGATGGGTTCCTTGAACACAGTGTGAATTCCTTTGGACGACCCCCTGGAGGGGTAGCAATCCCTTTCGGGGAATATCTTCCCGCTCCTTCTCTTTTCTCTTAGATTGGAGGGCTCGGCCTTTGCTGCTTCCCATCTCGTCCTCAACCCTCGAGTATTTGTTTATCCGGGCCATTAGTTCCCCCATATCCGAGGGAGTCTTCTTGGTCAGGGATCGGTACAGGTCCGTGTCCCTTGCCAAGCCGAGCCGGAAAGATGCTGCTGCCATGACCTCCGAGCAGCCTTCTACCTCATTAACCTCTTCCCAGTATCGGATGGCGTACTGGCGAAGAGTCTCGGATTCCCTCCGTCTGAGGGTCAGCAATGATCCAATGTCTTTGGGGCGCTTACTCCCCGTAATGAATCGAGCCAGGAACTGCTTAGTCAATTCCTTCCAGGACCCAATACTGTTGGGGGAAGCGCCTCGAACCACTTCATCGCAGAGTCCCCCAAGCTCATAGGAAACACTCGGCAGAGAAACCGTTGGTCCGAATGATAGAGGGACATCATCTGCTTGTATTGCCTGACATGGGCTTCGGGATCGGACCGCCCGTCATAAGTTTTGAACCGCGGCACGACAAACTTTCTTGAAACCTCCATCTCACCGATCTCCCTCGTAAAGGGTGTTTGTATGACTTCGTCCTCGGCCTCATCCTGGACAGCCTTACCCTTTCTCCTGGAGTCTAACCGGGCTCTGAGATCAATTTCTTCCCTGACGGGATGCCTTCTGAAGTCCTTGAGTTCATCGGTAAGTCCCTCATTTCCTGGGCGTCGTGTGGATTGGGTTGAGTCCTCCTCGATTCATCTCCCTTTCTCCGTCTAGACAAACCTCGCCAGAGGTCGTCCAGGGCCAATGACCTTGCTTTCCTTGAATGGTTGTCATGATGATGCTCGCCGGCTCTAGGTCGCTTTGGGGCCCTAGAGCTTTCTGTTTTGTTGTTTAGGTGGTTTCTTAGATCCTTCGTTTCTGCCTCCCGGGCGAAAAGCCCACGAGAAAGGAATGAATCCCTCGACCCTTCGCCAGAGGCGGCAAACTCGTTGAGCCGGCTTAGGATGTTTACATTGTCCTTTTCCAGCTGACGTAATCTATCGCCAAACTTTTCTTCAATCACCTCCGCCAGCTGACGAGCCAAGGGGGCTGATCCCCCCTGACCTGATTCCCATATTGGTTTGAGGGGTAACACCTCTTGACCGAGTAGAGGCACTTTTATTCGTATTGGTGTGATCCCTTCCTCCGTGATGACATGAAGCTTGTAACTCGAGACTCCTTTAGTGGGGTCCTTTCCCTTTCTATCGAGTGTTCACCATGGTCGCTGTTCTTTATAGAGAAACAACTAGGAAAACTAGTCGTTTCCCACAGACGGCGCCAAATTGTGCGTGCAAGATCCTGCACAATATAAAAAATGAGAACAAATCTCTCCCTTGGTGAACTCGAGTGAGCCAGTTGAGTGACCAACCACGCTGCTTAGAACAGCCTGCGAGGTCCGGTGATAACCTGGAACGGCAACGGGAGACCCTGGGGGAGCGGAAGAACGATCCAGTAAGGCTGAAAGAGGTTCCTAGAACAAATAAGAACAAGTTAGAAGGGCGCCGGAGTGTTTTTTTAGCATATCCCCTCCGACGATCTAGTCAGTCTTTGAGAGAGAGAGAGGAAGGAGAAAACACTGAGTGTGTATTGTAGTAAAGAGTTTTTTGTTGCATACCCGTCTTGCCTTTTGCAAGGAGTATTTATACCTCAAAAACTCATGATTGTTGTCAGTGTAGTCAGTAGGTGATCATTAGGTACAGGCAGTGTGCGCACTGATTCTGATGAGGAATGTCTTCTCTTCTTAACTGTTCGGGGTCCCGAGCAATCAATGCTGGGTCATCGGGATGCCGACGGTACAATGTACTCCTCTCGGGGAGGATGCAATAAATGCTCTGTATTAGGAGCATTTATTGTCTTTCATTTCCGAGCCTTACCGCATTGAATGCGGTCTCATCAAGGGAAATGATGTAATTAATCGTTTGCTTTCCCAAGTCGCGTGTCAGCAACGGCATGCTGTTTCTCTGTCTTCGATGTGATATCATATGCCACGCGTCCATCCCCCATTGGCTGTGGGCCCTGTATTATTGTACGTTCTGACGCTAATTGTGTAAGACGAGGTCATAATGAATAGCCTAGACTAGCCTAGGCTAATGATCTGTATGTCAATAACTTATCCTGGAGTAGAGGAGGCGTCCAGGACGGGGTACACCTCGGCACCGAGGAAAGGCTCATCTCGGAACCGAGGGAGGGATACCGACCGAGGTACCATATCAGACCGAGGCTACGTGTTGGTTGTAAAACGTACTGAATGCCATGATCCTATATGACGAGTACCTCGGGGGTGAGGACCTTGCGCGCCGATGGTGCTTGATCTTAGCAACAGTGTTTTGGTAAATACCGAGGACACGTGTCTTCATCATGGAGTATTTCAGAAAAGTCTCATCAATAACTTTACACATGGATGCATGTATGCCGGGTTTTCTGATCAATAAAAGTTTCATCATATATCAGGTAGATGGGTTGAAGGAAAATACTCTTGACCTCTCTATCTAAACTGAATCAAGTGTTAAATTCAACACCAAATGTATTGAAACCAATGGCCTAACTTCATAATAGAATATACAGATTTCAAGCAAATCCCAAAAACGAATAATACTTTCTACATTCACATTCATTGTCTTGTTTCTTTAGGTGTCTATGAACAGCAATTAAGTTTACCAAATCCTTTCTGACATTTTCTCAAACAGGTGGAGGGCGGGGAGGTGTGCGTGAGAGATTTGCTTGAAGGAGAAAGAGGGAGACAGAGAGAAATGAGAAAAGGAGGGGAGAAGGAGAGACAGAGATGAGATAACAACTAGCTTGTGTGCTCCAACTATAATGTGAAGAATGTCAAATTTATCACCAGTTTTCTTCGTGAAAGCATCTCTAATTTCAACATCAAATGCTCATAGAATAAAACTTGAGTTGTGAGACAATATATATAGCAATTGTTAATAGAGAGAGAACATACGTTGCCTCTAGTCGGAGCTGCCTGAAGTCGGAGTTGGCTGAGGTCGTCGGAGTTGCCTGAAGCCGCCCAGATCTGCTACACCATGCAAGGCTTTGCTGTTGAAGTCTAACAAAAAAGAGGGGTGCAGATCTGAAATTTCAGGAATAAAAAACGACATCGTTTTTGGTATAAACTGTTTAAAAAACAAATTACATAAAGTAACCAAACGACACCGTTCCACTTAATCGCATGTCATGTCATGTGATTTCTTCCTTAGCGTAGAGGAGCCGCTCTCCTCGGACTAATGCCGCGCATCTATGACGTGACAATTTCTATTGGAAGATCTACGTGCGCCATCAGCTGTTTCATTAGTCAAACAGATGGCTTTTATTCCATGAACGTTACTGTCGCCAACTAATAGAATGCTGCCACGTTTACATTTGACGTAATAGAGCGAGTTCAGAAGTTTTATCTACTCGCGAGGGTAAAAAATGATCCTCTAAGACAGTCTACCCTATGTCCTCTCATTTTTCAACTACTCGTCCGTATACAAATCTCTCAAGTGTGAGAGAGAGAGGAATCAAAGCAACGGAGGCATAATTGGGAGAGAGAGAGGGAGGGAGAGGGAGAGGGAGCTGAACAATGGGGTCTGGGATTTGCGTAGGGTTGTTCTTGGTTATTTTCAGTTTCGCTTTGACCGGTTCAGTTTTTGCTTCTGAAAGTGAAGAGACCCAATCGAAGGAGTTCGTACTCACTTTAGATCATTCCAATTTCTCTGAAACTGTTAAGCAGTACAACTTCGTTGTGGTCGAGTTCTACGCTCCATGGTAAAATTCAGATTCTATTGCTATTTGTAGTGTAGTTTAACTCTGCTAAGAACGACAGTTACTGTAGTTTTTTTTTTTTTTTTGGCCTTGTCTGTAGCTATATCCTCCATTAAGTCTATGGTCATTTGTTTCTCACTTTCCTTATAGACATTCTCTTAACTTCTTCTGGCACTTTCAGCGCTCTTTACAGTTCAAATGAATGAAATAATTCTTAATTCTAACTTGATTCGGTTTTTGACCTGAATGATTTACCTTCAAATAGTACTTGTAGCAATTTTGATGTGGGGATTACTATTATTATTCTGGCAGAAAATTGGGAAAAAAGGAGAGATAATGCAATCCGAAAAAAAAAAGAGTTCACTTTGGTATTAACTATATGTATTTTCTGAAATTATTACTTACCAACAGTGATTGACCAGCATAATTTGTGTTGGAGCTGCCGATGCATAAAACCATGTTCATGGCACAAAATGGGAAGGTGTCTTATGTTATGAGTAATTTGAGTTATTTTTAAGTCTAGGATGATGGATCTTAGAGTTGCCCATTTTAAATTTTAGAGCTCCAAAAGGCGTGCCATTTGATTCTTTACGTACCCGTTTTATCTTCAATAATACATATTAATTGTTGAAAATTTGTATATTACTGTATAAAAATATTGCACCTTCCTTATTATCACAAGCCAGCAGCGAGGCGCCCTGTCTGTTGTCCTTCTACCTCTTTGTTGGAATAATTCAGATAAGTTATCCCATTTTCATTGTAGGAAGAACAAAGCATGCATTTATTTCCTTATTCCCTCTGTAAATTTGGATTTTTTTCTTAAAATCCATGGAAGGTATTCCTTCAGAACATACGCACCATACTTTTCTCCACTCCCTCCCCAACCAAACAAGAAAGAAAAAATCCCCGACTATGTGAGAAACATAATACATGCGTGTAGCGCATAGATAATCAATATCGAGGAAAATCTTCCTTTGCCATGAAGGCAACAAGCAATGGCATTGTAAGTGCATGAATTTCTTGGTGGCAATTTTAGTGTTCATTTCCTGGTAGATGTGATGATTTAATGTGAAATTTCGATATCTTATAACACTCACTCTGAGCTTGAAATGGATAAATCTTGTTGGTACTTAGATAACTTTCTATATTTTGTAACAGGTGTGGTCACTGCAAGAAACTTGCTCCCGAGGTAATAGAAATTTTTTAATTTCAAGTGTTTGATTTGAAACAATCTGAAGATAGTAATTAAAGTTAATATGTATTGTTTCTTAGCTAACAACATTTTTAATGTCTTGTAGTATGAGAAAGCTGCATCTACATTGAGTGGTCATGATCCTCCTGTTATTCTGGCAAAGGTAGATGCCAATGAAGAGAAAAACAAAGTTCTTGCAAGTGAATATGAGGTTCAAGGTTTCCCCACCCTTAAGATCTTCAGAAATGGAGGGAAGAATATTCAAGATTACAAAGGTCCTCGTGATGCGGATGGTATTGTTTCTTACTTGAAAAAACAAAGTGGTCCTGCATCTGTTGAGTTAAAATCTGCTGAAGATGCTAATGGCCTTGTTGATGACAAAAAGATTGTTGTTGTAAGTAATTATACTTTTTTTTTTCCTGGTTTTCATCCATATTTTTGTGCAATTATAGTAATGACCTCTTTTTGCTTTCTTATAGGTGGGAATATTCCCAGCATTATCCGGTGAGAAGTTTGAGAATTTTACCGCTCTTGCTGAGAAATTGCGTTCCGACTATGAGTTTGGTCATACATTGGATGCAAAACTTCTGCCACGAGGGGATTCGTCTGTGTCTGGGCCTATTGTTAGGCTGTTCAAGCCATTTGATGAGCTCTTTGTAGACTTTCAGGTATTGGTAGTTTCATGAGTCTGGCTAGATATCATCTATCTGGTTCCTAATAATGAGTTCTCTCTCTCTCTCCCCCCCTCTCTTCCTTTGACCTCTCGTTTTGGTTGGAGATAACTCGTAACTAATATATGCAGTTATCTAATCTAAGATTGGACATGTATGCAGGATTTTGATGTTGATGCTTTAGAGAAGTTTGTTGAAGAAGGAAGTATTCCAATTGTTACTCTCTTTAACAATGACCCTAGCAACCATCCTTTCGTTGTCAAATTCTTTGACAGTCCTAATGCAAAGGTGAATAAACGTGTTGCAATCTTTGCCTTAGTTTATTAGTTGTATCGTGTACATAATCAATAGTTGAAAATTATTGTTTTGCCCATTATTAAATTTTTAAAGATTTCCTATGCTTCTAGCATCTAAGTTGAGTTGTAGAAGATCATTTATGGAACAATTATTTTTATATTTCCTGTATTTCCTCCATCTAAGATAAATAGAAAACCCATTGATTGCTATGAAGCACTTCTTTTAAACTCACGTATATTGGAAAGGTATTACACTTTATGGACTATGTATTTGCGTTTATCTTTGTATTATATAGGCTAATGAGATAGTTTGGAATTTGTAGGCCATGTTGTTTTTAAACTTCAGCAGTGAGCTTGGTGATGCTTTCAAATCAAAGTATCATGAAGTTGCTGAGCAGGACAAAGGAAAGGGCTTAAGTTTTCTGATGGGTGATGTTGAGGCTAGTCAAGGTGCTTTCCAGGTTTGTATGAGTGGCTCGTTTGTAGGAGTCACTGGATATATCTGTTGCTCTTTCATTGGCATCACTTAATATGTTTAATTAGCATATTCACCATTTCATTGGCTTGAATGAACAGTATTTTGGACTTAAAGACGACCAGGTGCCTCTCATCATCATCCAGACCAATGACGGACAGAAGTATCTCAAACCAAATCTAGAGCCCGACCATATTGCATCTTGGGTGAAAGAGTACAAGGTATTTTTTGGTTTTATTTTTAATATTTGGCTATGCAGTCATCAACTTTCTCTTTTCTAATGCTAGTGTATTCTTTTTATTCTGGTGTATCATTTTCTAGTGCAGTTTCTCACAGAAGCTAACTATTATGGTACATAATTGCAGGATGGCAAAGTTCCACCATACAAGAAGTCTGAGCCTGTACCTGAGAACAACACAGAACCTGTTAAGGTGGTTGTTGCTGACAGCCTTCAGGACATGGTTTTCAGTTCTGGGAAAAATGGTATGTATTAGCTCTAGCTAGTTCACCTATTATAAAATTGTTTTGTTAAGTACAAGTACTAACTCGGATTTCATTTTAGCTTTTTCCTTCCGATTTTTCTGTAATGCATTTTTTGAATTGTATCTCATAACTACCATTTCGGAATTAAATTTCTTAATGTGATGATTATTTTAATGATCTATACTACTTATACATGGCAGCATCTGTGAAAAACAACAAAAAATTTATTGACTATCTTGTGCTGATTGTAAAGGGTGCAGAAATGTGTAAGCATAAAGTGCACACACTTTTTGGATGGACTTTACCACCCATGTTGGACCTGACGCTCCTAGAATTGTGTCAAACATGGCCATATATGCGTGAAGTTTTTACAACTGAAATCCGCTTAGATGCACGATGCACAACAAGCGAAACATCCATTTCACAACTTTTGATAGATAGTGAAAAGTGAAATCATAAGAAGATGGATACATAACACTTAGCAGTATTTAGTTGTCGATAATAGTTGAGATTTGTCTTCCAAGTACTGCAATAGCCAGTGAGGATACTTAACTGAAAACAAATGTGTACCGTATGTTAACACACACTCATGAAGAAATATGTTTATATTGCTATGTCCTCACCAATCTCCTACACATGTAGGGTTTTTTCTCTCTTTTGTTTCCATGTCCTATATTCATTCCTGTGGCACTAAGATCTTTAACCTGCATTACAGTTTTTGCTTCTCTCTTCCTCTAGTATGACGTGATGAACTGGCCATAGATATTGGTGTTTGCTTTTTTGTTGGTGAATTGGTTTGAATTCAGCAACCTTGTAAAAATTGATTCTTGTATGCTTATGCTCTGTGTCTTTAGTCATACTTGCAATGGTTTTATTCCTCCTGGCTACAGTGTAATACTCCTTGAATCGCATATTATGTCAGGGCCTGTTTCATTTTGCAGTGCTATTAGAGTTTTATGCTCCCTGGTGTGGACACTGCAAGAAGTTGGCTCCAATTTTGGATGAAGTTGCTGTTTCTTTCGAAAATGATGGTGATGTCTTGATTGCAAAGATTGTAAGATCTGTTATCCAATCCTGCAATGCATTTGTCATGCTAGTTGCTCATGTAGCCATGACTATGATCGACCTTGGTGAAGCACTAACACCATTAATTTGGTGTGGTTGTTGTCTCAAATAAAAGGGGCAACTTCTTTTGTTCTCAACAAAATAAATGAGCATAATGGACATTGAGAGGGGAAGAGATAAAAGAAAAAAAAGAAGGGGGGGGGGTGATTGAAAACTTATTCTGTGAATATTTTGGGAGAAGTCATTGTTTTATTGCATGCTCACAACAATATTCACATGGAACCTTAGCATTTATTATTATTCTTAACTTCATCAGTTTAGATATTGATCGTTTTCTTTTACTATTCGTGTACATTTTTTAATCTAGTCTCTTTCTTCTACTTTCAAGGATGCTACGGCGAATGATATTACAAATGAAGCCTTTGACGTCAAAGGTTATCCAACTGTGTACTTCAAGTCAGCAAGCGGAAATCTGTTGCAGTATGAGGGGGGCAGGACCAAGGAAGACATCATTGATTTTATTCAGAAGAATCGGGACAATACTGCCCAGCAAGAACCGAAGAAAGACGAGCTTTAATGAAGGTATCCAAATATCCATATTACATTTTAACTGTCTTGAAGGCAATGGTATTTTGGTGAATTGAGTAAGTACCCGATCTGAACAATGTTGTGTGTGTCTATTCTCTGTAGTTACCAATTTTCCTGTGCAACTTTGCTGTCTGCATACCTTTTCATAGCATATAGAGATGCAAAAAAATAAAAGAATTTAGTAGTGTGGAAGATGTTTTCAGAGTTTGGTAGAGTGTAAGCCGTGGCACAGTGATAAGAATTTGGTAGAGGGTGGACCTTAGCTTAAGGTGTCAAGAGCAGCTAGACTCGCGGAAATAGCCTCCCATATGCGGTGATTAGGCTTTTGAAGATCGGACCCTCCCCTCGACTCCTAGTGGGGGAAGTCTCGTACACTCGGCTAGCTATGGGTCCTGCTGGTTCTAGGGGACTAGTTAATAGATATTTATATCTGCCAGTTTTCCATGTACATTGTTGGTAGTTATTTGATTTCCCTCTTTTTCTGCAGGGAGGACCAGCGTGTATCCTTGAAGATGATGCAGATGTGACCACAAAAGGATTACCTATAGGCTTTTACTTTAAGCTTGTCCTCAATTTCCTTTCTGTTTTTAGTTTTACATAAAATTTTACTGCCGTAATAAAGTGGGAAGTCGTTTTGGAATATGTAGCTGCAATAAATTTCAGTTGTGGGGGTAGCTTAGTTCAAAATTTAACAATTTTGTGGCTATAAAATGTCTCCTAATGTATTAGTTTATAAAGCTTCTAGGAGAGGTGATATTCCAATCTCTCTCTCTCTCTCTCTCTCTCTCTCTCTCTCTCTCTGTGGGTGCGGGTACGTGTGTATGTAAATGGCCATTCACTTGATTAGGTACCGGTAAATTTGGTTATGGAATTTTACTGTGGCAGTCTTTTTGTTGTTAGCATTTAAGTAACAATGATGTTACCGAATTCTTTGACGATTTATTCATATCAGTTCATGAAGAAGAAAGAAGCATAAGTTACTCCGTTTGTGGTCCTATCTTTTCGGTTACGGTCTCGGGTGGATGCCCCTTTCCGAGAATAAAGCGGATTGGACACTCACCCATGACCCAACCTTAGAATTAAGGTACTGAGCTAGTCACTTAACCCTGGCAAGTGCAAATAACAGAACGAAGATAGATGTATGAAACTTTTGTTACTGTGGCATCTAGGAATGTCAGATATCAACAAATGTGGTTTCCGTAACATAATTGAAATTACTAATGGATATTGTACGAATCATTGAATGATTGTTGAGATTCAATGAAATCAGCAATAGGTTGTAGTAGAGTGATAGAAAAGTTGAGAATGTGTTTTCCATTTAATTGCTTATGGCAGACATACTGCGATAGATTTCTAGAAACTTCATATTCTGGAAGCTATTCTCATTCAAAACATGTCACCATAGTTTGCTAAGAATAAATTGATACAAAATTCGGTAAGAGATATTAACTTCCTTTCTCCTGTGTATATGTGTGCGACTCTGTGAGTTTATGTGAGAGAGAGAGAGGGGCCGGGCCCAACTTTTAAATCAAGTGGTGGTTGGCGTAGTTTGAGTAGCTTGACAGGCCGAAGAAGAAATTTGCTACATAACAAGCCCACTAAGGTAACCTTGCATCCTTATGTATTAAATCACAAGTTATTATTTGTACCTGAAAGTACGGATAATAAAAAAAATAGTTAACAATAAATATATTTATATTCACGCTCAAAATCAAATCATAAATATAGAAAAAAAAAAACAAATTTAAGCATTGGTATAGTGGTAGTGGTAGTGGTGAGTAGTAGTAGTGGTGAGAGACGGTGATGGTTACAGTGAATGACAATGAGCGTGGTGATGATGGTAGTGACAACCATAAGTGACGGCGATAGTTGTGGTGGTGGTGGGCGATGGTGATGGTGATTGGTAGTGGTGGGTGATGACAAGTGGTGGTGGTAGGTGTGATGGAATGGGTGATAGTGGCTGGTGGTGATGGTGGACGACGATGGGTGATGGTGGGTGCTGATAAAAATAAAAGAATTTGGTAGTGTGGAAGAAATGTTTTCAGAGTTTAGTAGAGTGTAAGCCATGGCACATTGATAAGAATTCGGTAGAGGGTGGACCTTTAAGGTGTCAAGAGCTAGACTCGCGGAAATAGCCTCCCATATGCGGTGATTAGGCTTTGAACATCTGACCCTCCTCTCGACTCCTAGTGGGGGAAGTCTCGTACACTCGGCTAGCTATGGGTCCTGGCTGGTTCCTGGGGACCAGTTAATGGATATTTATATCTGCCAATTTTCCATGTACACATTGTTGG